GCAGAAAGGAGATTCTTAGGGATTCACCAGAAATCACGCTAAACTGGGTGATGAGTTTAAATCCAATAGCTGGTCCCTTCCTGAGACACAAAGGTCATGACCCACGTTAGAATTTGTGACTGCGCTCTTTAAGGCCTCCTGAATTCCAGAAGGAGGAAGTGTTCAGGCTTCTGTCCCTTACGTCACCTTTAGCAAGAGCCTGTGATGGGACCTCACCCTCCATCACCAGGTTTCTATCCGGGATTCACATCAGTATTAGTAGCTACACCACATTAAGGCTTCTCTTTTTGTTTCTCTACCCCAAAAATAGGCTCAGTGGTTTTCAAGTTGAGAACAAGGGCGATTTTCCTAAGAAATTAGCTAAAGGGTGGGCCAGGGACCCTGTAGGTTCATCAGCATAAACTTGAGCTACTGGGGGCAAGGGGGAGGTTCAGGGCCCTGGGACCACTCTGTGTCCTAATAGCTTAGTTCACCTGGTTCCTCCCATCTTACAGCTCATCCAGGTTCCTTCCAAGTGCTTCTGTCTCTGTCTTGGTTCTCCACATTACCCTGCCGTGTTAAGGGGGGATTGTTCTCCCCATTTAACGGAGAATGCAGTCTTGGAGAGGTCAAGGGACTCTAATGCAGTGGCCAGTAGCAAGTAGCAGAACGGGCTACAGCCACCACCCCCGCTCACTCCTAGGGCAGCCAGTCCAGGGTTGGCCGTCCTAGGTGAGTGAACGTGGGTGTGACTTCGCCCTTGTGGTTGGCTCTTATGTTCGAGTCAAAACCTCATCCATATTTAATTGACCCCTAGGTTCCCCAGGTCATATCCTAATGTCTCTATTTTTTTTTTCTTAAAAAAGACCAAAAACTATTTTTGGCTAGGACAAGGCATAGGACACATGGTCCCTGGTGGTGTCCCTGCTAGTTTTCAAGCCTCTGAATCCTTATGTAGCTTTCAGAGAACACATCCTAATTGCCCTCCTCTTCCTCAGCAGAATCCATCTGAGATTATAACGTATGCTGCGGTTGCAGTTAAAGACTAAAAAAATGTTTTTAATATGTAATGCACTCCTCTCGGCTAATTTTCTTTTGACTTTCATGTGCCAATGTAACTTCCTTAAAGGATCTATGCATTTATTATGTCTAGGAAACTATATGTACACTGTAGGTGAAAAATTATCTTTTTTAACTAAATATTTTTCCATCACAAATTTAAAGAACTGCTTGATTAACTAGGGACCTTTTAAATTTAAATTATGCTTCACTTTTAAATTATGCTTTCATCACTACAGAGGATTGCTTCCTTTATTTTATTCCCAAAGCTAATTAGCATGGGATAATTACTCTGCTACAGAAATAGGCAATTAAAAAAAATAAATTTAGCTCTACTCATTGGAGGCATAAAAGAAAAAAGAACTATTGCTCTCAGATAGAAAGTGTCTCTAGAAGCAGGAGCAGGTGGTTCCTATCGATTTCTGGTTTGGGGTTTGCCCTTACCAGGCTGTGTGTGGTTAGGGTGGGAGGTGTCAGTGTCTTGAGAACCTGGCCCTAGAGGAAGGTTCTGGGTCAGCTGCAATGAGAGACAGGTGGTTAAGGGGCACCATGGGCAGGTCAGAGTCATCCCTGCTGCCCCTGTCATTCTGTAACCCACAGTGCTGGCTCGTGTGCCTGTCCCCCTATCCCCCCGTGTGTCCACCTTGTGCACACACCTGGCTGCCCTTGTGAGTCTTCACGTGCTCATTACCCCTCACCTGTTAGGACTAGTGCCTGCTTTTGCCCCATCAGTCCCCTGCCTTTACAGACCCAAGCAGCAGGGAAGGCACCAGCCTGTCCTGAGCCAGGCTAAACCAGGTGGGCTGTGTGTATCACCGAGGGCAGGCAGTCCTGCAGGCCCCGACCAAAGCCCGCTGCCCAGGGTCTGGGTTTCTTCCACCTGCTCTTCCCTATTCATAGGGATCCGCAAGCCCAAGAGCGGCAGCGGCAGCCCACCACTCAGAGAACACAGGGCTCCCCACACAGACCGGGAATTTGGGAACGGGGTGGGTGGTGTCCTTGCTGGACACCCGTCTTCCCACCTGGCCTTTCTCCTTCCTGCATCCTGGGGCCCCTCCCTCTCCATAAGATGGGGGTGGATGGAGGCAGGAGGGACCAGGAGAGGCTCCGTTCATTCCCCTGGGGAAAGCTAGAGCGAATCCCAGCACCAGTGGCTGAGGCTACTGTCCATGCCTTTCCCTCCTTCCCTAGGTGTGAAATGGGCTACTGGGGCTCAAGGCACTGGGACCAGGCGTGGGGGGATCTATTGCCACATTTTGGAATTTACCCCAGGAGAAGCAGAAACCTTTCTGCCCTGGCTAAATGGGGAAGAGCTGGTCTCCCATCCCCATCCCCCCCTTCCTGTCCCTTGAGGGCCGTGCTCCCCCGGCTGGAGCAGGTGACTGTGCTGCCCATGTGATGGGCTCTTTGCACATGCTTGTTGCTTGAATAGACAACTTGCCAGTCAAGGCGAACGTGCTCGGGAGCGTGTACCCACGGGCCATGCTTTAAATGCTCACAGCCTCTGAGCTCCTGCGCTGGGGGCAGTTAGCAGCTGTATCCAAGGCACCTGAGGAGGATCCACCTCTTGGCAGCCTTGTTGCCACATCGTACCCATAGAAACGTCTAGAAATTTCGGAAAGTGCTCTCTGGGCAGCTGTTGGAGGAAAGGAAGTCCGTCACCCCCCACCCAGCCCTGGACCTAAAGCTCTGCCTTTGCTCGCTCTTTGTGTGGGTTCACCCAGAGGGTGCCGGGTGCCCTCGCCAGGTGTGAGCAATTGCTCTGGCTTTTCTGGGCTCTGCAGCTCATCCCGTGAGCCCCTCAGCATGAAGCCTCCCCTGGGCTTTCTCAAAGCTGGCAGAGGGGGCCCCTCGTATACTGTGGGTGAATCTTCCCCACTATGTCAGTTATATGGGTACAAGGGCGAGGGGGTCTTTCTCTGGGCCTGGCCCACGAGGCAGAGAACACGAGGTTTGTTGCTCACGGTGACCCTGGCCGCCTGCCAGCCTGGCTTGCGGGGCCCCTTCACCTTGCTGCAGAGAGCGCTTCCCCAAAGGGCATCCTCCTCAGGATGTGGGTTTTAAAAAGGCATTCGATTTAGGTTATTGTATTTGCTTGTTAATAAAACTAAATTGGAACGCTAGTTTTGTGCTGAACTTCAGACCAGGTAGCTAACGGCAGGATGGCCAGCCTGCCAGGTGACTGTGCGTCCCACCCGAGGAAATGGCTGCTCACTTTTCAGTTTGGAGAAAGGGGCTCTTTTTCTCCTGCTCTGCCACCAGGGTGGAGCTGTCTTTTCAGGGAAGCCAGCTGGGTGGTATCAGAGCTTTGGCTATTTTATAGGGGTTTTAAAAATTCTGACTTTTCAATGACAAATGGCTCCCAGGTTCCATTCGTCTCTGCTGTATTCTTAGACACTTTGTACACATGGTGCCAGGAGCATGCGTCATCTTTTCCCTGCGAGTTTCCAAGGCCCTTCATCTGGTCTCAGGGTGTCAGGGTCCAGTTGTCAAAGTTGTGTGTCTTCCTCCCACTTCTAACCAGGGCTAAAAACACACTCTCTCCTAGTCTAGGGAAATGTCTGCTGCCAGGGTACCTGGGACAGTACTTGGGGGCCGTGAGAGGTGTCTCTGAGGGTTGAAAACACACACTGTGCCTATGTGAAAGTCAGGCCCTCAGCCCTGTGGCTTTTCCACTTGTTAGATGTATGGGTCTAGGCATCAGCTGCTCCTTATTGAAAAGCCCGATGAGAAATACCAGCATGATCCGCGGCTGTTCCCACTGTTGCCAGAACTCAAACTGTTGCTGCTTATGCAACATGTTGGTTGGGACTTGTCCATGTACCAGGCCAGTAAAACTCTTCATCCTGGGCAGAGTAGGTTCCCTCCTCACCCTGTCACTGTAAAACAAAATGTCTAAGCTATCAAGAGAACATGCCGCTTTTGGTTTCTAGGTGCATAGTTTGGTATGATCAGCTCTTGGGCATAAAAGAAGGGTTCCCAGACGACAGAGCCCACCTTGCTGCCACTCCAGAATTCCCAACAGAAATTCCCAGGCCCATCCCAGAAGGACATGCAGTCCCCATTCAGCAGAAGGCACTGCTCCTGAAAATGACTGGGGTGTGAGCAAGGCAGCTCTGTTCTTCCAAATGTCCTAGTAGGGTTTTCTCTAGCCACTGGGCATCTCTTCTCTCGTTTTTCATCCCTGCCCCTCTGAGCTATAGACCTCATGGCCACACTGTCCACTTCCTCCACGAGGCTCGGACCAGGGGCATTTGAGGACCCGGTGGACAGAGCTGTGTCTGAGCTCTTGAGGAGCCCCAGCGGGGGGCTGCTGGTCTGTGAGGCCGGGTCTCCAGTTCAGAGCACACGAACCCTGGCAGGGGACCCTCTGCTTGTGTCCCCCGCCAGCTGGGAGCAGTTGCTGGTGTCTGAACACACACAGAGCTGTCAGCCAGATGGGGCCAGGCCCACGAGCAGGAGCTGCAAGGAAAGGGCTGAGCCAGGAGAGGGCAGCCCCGCGAGGCAGGCTGGGCATGGCTTCCACTGGGTGTTTGGATCTTCCTGGGGGCCCCACTGTGACCTACCAAGTAGGGGATGGATAGAGCACGCTTGTGTCCTGAAAGAACCTCCTTATAGATAACCAAAACCAAGAACTTCTGGGGCTGTTGACACATGGCTTGAGTCCCCCACAAGACCCTTCTGGCATGCCGGGCTGAACACCACCATCTTTGTTCATTCTCTAGAACAGGCAGAGCAGGAACATTGGTTGAAAAGTTGTAAATAATATATTTATCCCGCTATTTATTTTTCAATAACTGTGACCTCCTGCACTGTGAATGCTCTGTGACATGAGATTCTTAGTTTAATAAAACTGGCATTAAATTTGAATGAATTGATATTATTGGTTACTAAACACTGGCATGAGTTTATTTTTATTGTGAAGAAAAACTTCTAGAGTAAACATAAACTAAACCTTTATAAGAAATCTAGCAGTCAGTATTGTAATGCAATATATCAAAATCTGTACACTGTCAATAAAATAAATGAGCACAAATTGTCTTTCCCTATAGAGAGCTTCCATTCACATTTTAATAGACATATGCATATTTGTATTTTTTGAAAGAATTATATACACAGGGAGAACAGCCATTTGAAACCATTTCTATTTGCACATTGAGAAAAAAATAAAGGTCAAAAAGATGAGGGGTTAGAGCTTTTTAATTATAATGGTTGATAGTGAACAAAACAGCAGAAGTCTCATAACTCGGCTAGCATGCATGAGTCCAGAAGGACCCAGCCGTACCTCACCAGCTTCGTGTGTGGGGACCCGTACAGTCACATGTCAGAAGGGGGCCCACTTGGCTGTCACCATCTTAGAAATTCTGAATGGCTTTTTATTTTTTTAAGGGCCCCCACATTTTCATTTTGCACCGGGTTCTGCAAATGACATAGCTGGTCCTGCTCATCTGGAAGAAGGTTCGTGTCATCAGCTCTGGTGTCATCGGAAATTGAGGTTGCAGGCAGAGGTTTTGGTTAATTCATTCTACAAAACTTTCCCGAGTCCCGGCTGCCGCGGGTGTCACCACAACCTTACACGTGGACGCGAATCACGTGGGCATCTTATTAAAAAGCAGATTCTGGGAAGTCCTGGGTAGGGCTGATGCAGCTGGTCCACCTTGAGTGGGGAGAGGCTGGATCAGTCCCAAGGTGTGACCTGGGCACCCGAGCTGGCTCACTGCTCGTCACCAATCCTCAGCGAGACGAGTACAGCAACCGAGGAAGCACATCCTCACTGATGGCAATGTGATGAGTCATTTCGTCTGAATCTTTTTTGTTGTATTTTTCTAGTAATTTTATTTTATAAAAATATCAGTCCACAATGAATTACAGCTTTTAAAAAATATTTTTTTAAATCTTACCTGCAGATAGTTTGAGAAGTTCTGCTCTAGATGAGAGTTGGTTAGAAACCCCTTCATTGCAACACATTCCTGTTTACAGAGTGTGAAGGACTTTGTCTTGGTGATTTCAGTGCATAAGCTTTGTGGGTCCTGCAGCCCTTGTGCTCATGGTTTGAGCATCCCAGTGTCCCTCTATGTAGCACTCCGTGGCTTGCCAATGACACACACACTGGGCATTGTCCACTCTTCACAGATGAGGAAAGTGAGGCAGAGGGTATGTGCTGTTCCCCAGGGTCTCTTGGCTACAACTTTGGGAACCAGTCTCCGAAACCACATCTCTTTCCATTGCCCGGGGCTGCCCCAATCAGATACATCAGTGGGAGTTTGGCTGAATCTGGAGTTTGGTTGAATCTAACCTGCCTGGGAGCTCATCTCCTCAGCTGATATCACAGCTCAGCCTCTGTCAGCTTGTTTTTAATCCATTTGTTTCAGAGGTGGGGTCTCACTATGTTGCCCAAGCTAGACTCCAACTCCTGGGCTCAAGGGATCCTCCTGCCTCAGCCTCCCGAGTACCTGGGACCACAGGCGCTCACCACTGTGCTGGCTCCATCAGCAGATGTTTGATGTTGCTGCAGGCAATTCCAAGTCTACGTGGGTCCCGGTGCAGGTGGCCTGCTGGTCCTCCGGTCCCAGGAGCAGGCCTTCTCCCAGGCTTCTGTTGCCCTTGTTTCCTAGCTGTTATCTACCGGGAAGAGCAAAGGCGGACTGGGGAAGAGACAGAGGAGTGGGTTCTGACCTCGCTCTGTACCCACTAGGGAGCTCTTCTGAGACTCAGTCTACACTCACTGCGGCTAAGGCCTCTGCCCTGGATGTGTCGACAGACTGTGGTGACACTGGGCTCTTGTTCTCAGCCGTTCTGCAGATTTTGATTCTGCAGACTTTGTCTTCCGCAATAAACAAACCCTTCTGGGTCTGCCCCACTTTTTATTCCTCCATCTCCGCTCCTGGCTTCTGAGCTGCTTCCCTGCATTCCCTCCTGGAGCCTCTTCTGCCCCGTGGTTATCAATCCTGGTGTCCGTTGACTTGGGGTCCCAAGGCGATCACAGAGGCCTGGGCAGCAGGGCTGCTGGCAAAACCCCTCCAGTGATGCTAAAGTGAAACCAAGGTTCGCAGCCGTGATCCAGCTCAGCCCACCTGTCACAGAGCCCTCGTGGATGTGGCAAGAGCCAGCCCCTCTGCCTGGCTCCAAGGTCCTGAGTCCCTCCAGAGCCACCCACCCGCACTTCCAGCCCCTCCTGGACTCTCACATCAAGTATTTTGTGATTTAAAAACAGAGGCAATGAGTAACCAGGAAAAAATACTATATAAAGGTAGCCAAAGGTTTCCAGGTAGCTCAAACTGGAAAACTCGTGGGGCCTCTGCTGGCTGAATGATGGCTCTCCTAGATGTCCACGTCCTGCTTCTCAGAACTGTGACTGTGTTTCCTTACGTGGCAAAGAGGAATTTGCAGACGTGATTAAGTGAAGGATCTTGAGAGACGGAGACTATCTTGGGTTACGTGGGTGGGCTTGATATGGTCACGGGGTCCTCATCGGAGTGTCCAGGAGGCCGAGGGAGAGGTGGCGATGGAAGCGGGGTCAGACTGATGCAAGGCCACACGCCGAGGAATGCAGGCAGCTTCTAGAGGCCAGGAAAGGCAGAACATAGATTTTACCCCGGAGTCTCCAGAAGCAAAACAGCCCTGCTGACACCTTGGTGTTAGCCCCGTGGAACCCATTCTGGACTTCTGACCTGCAGAACTGCAAGACAGTAAATTTATGGTAATGAGTTCCACCAGCCATGGGACGCGAACGCAGCCCGGAAGTGAGAGTGGGAAGAAACAGAGGAAGACTCGGGTGAAGGTGGGTCTAAGAGCGGGAGGGCCCTGGGGGCCAGGCAGTGGGGAGCCCCTTAAGGCTGCTTCCCCAGGAGTGGCTGCTCGGATTCCAAGTCCCGAATGGTCACTCTGTTCAGTGTGAAAATGGCTGGGATGGGGGAATGGTGACAAGACTGGAATAACAGCCAGGAGCTCAAAGCCTAGAAAAGAAATGAGGCTATTCGCAGAGGAGAGATTGGCTAAGGGCAGATGCCCAGTGTTTGACTTTGGGCTCATGTGTGGGTGCTGTCGCCCACAGGATTTGGGAACTGATTATGGAGATAAGGGGGGAGAAGAGGAGAGGAAGCCTTCCAGCTCTCAGACTGGGAAGCCCGGGGGAGGAGCAGGCTTGGGCACAGGAGATGATGAGTTCTGTTTGGAGTGTGTGGAATCCGGGAAGCCTATGGGATGTCGGCTATGGCTGGGTGTGATTCAGCCTCTCGGAGACCCTGTTGCATCCTCTGCAAACACAGGATGGCAAACCACCTGCACGGGGTTGCCGAGCCCATCGTGTGAGGTGCGGTATCCCTGTCGCCTGGCCTGGTGCCTCCAACTTAGTGACACCCGGCATGGCCGCTGTTGTTGCAGACAAAGCACGGACACCATGCAACGGTGAAGATGAGCTCCACCCAAAAGTCTCCCTCTTGCTCCCTCGATGCCTTCTCTGTGGAAGGAGGGTCTCCCCAGGGCAAGGGAGGGCATGTGCTGGAGGTCTTGAAGTTTGAACTCCAGGCTTGGGAGTGGTGGGGATTCCCAGCTTGGTTAGTACATCAAGAACTAGGGCTTGGGGGTTTGGGGTGAAGGTTTCTCGGACTCACCTTGAGGCTCAGCCCTGGGGCCTGGAGCCAGGGAGGAGGTGACTGGGATTTCTGTCCTGGGATGGGGGGAGTGTGTGAAGTAACAGCCTGGGGAACAAAGGGGGCCCAAGCTCTTGCCACGCCCCCCTTCTTGTGCCTCTGGAAGAGGCGGGAGTGGCAATTGGGGCCGGCTGGGTTGGCCGGCAGAGTCCCAGGGTGGGCAGCATGCTGGGCATGCAGCAGACTGCCCCCCATGTGCAGGACCCCCCGTGAGACCACTGACCTACAAGAAGGGGCTGACTTGGGCCTTCTGGGCCAGGGAGCTGGAGGCCATAGGTTGAGGGGTCCGTAGGTCCAGCCAGGGTCACTGGGGGCTTAGCAGGCAGAGAAGGTCAAGCTGGGACTGAACTTGTTGGTTGGTCCTCCGAGGCCAGGGCTGGCACCTTGGGCATGCGACCCGGGCAGTTGCACCAAGCCCATGCTGAGAGGGGACCCACACTGAGAAGGGTCCCACACCAGGCTTAATGCTCTGCTGTTGCTGTCTAGAAATCCGTAATACTTTTCGAGCAAGGAGTCAACTGTTTTCATTTTGCACTGGGGCCCCAAAATTATGTAGCCTGCCCTGTCCCGTGAGGACCACACCCTGCATTGTCGGCAGCTGCTGCTTCTGTCAACCAGACCCTTGCAAAGCAGGGACATCATGTCTTCCCGTCTGGTCCTCAATGTCACCTTATCTGAGGCTACATTAACTAAGGACAGCTGAATTGAGCCCAGACTTCCCCAGACACGCCTCTTAGCATCCCTGTCAGGACAGGGCACCGGGTGGAAGGCACTGAAGAGCCCACAGAGCTGGACATCCGTCCTACTCTTATAAAAATCAATGAAGGGAAAAATAAAAAAGAAATCAATAAAGAGAAACTGACACTTGTCATGAGCCAACTAAGCAAAAGACATTGTTGACCACTTTCCGTGTAATCCTCACAAGCAGCTGCATGGGGCGAGTATGAATCTGCCCATCTTCCAGAAAAGGAAACCTGGGCCCAGAGAGGTTAAGAAACTTGCCCAAGGTCACACAGCCAGCAAGAGTAGGGCTGAGGTGGGAACCTGGGCTGGGTGGTTCTGAAGCGGCCAGCGCTCCCATCCTCCCAGCCCCTAGCCACCCTCAGCAACTCTTTAAGGAAATGAGTCCCCCTTTGGGAATGCTCTTGCCTGAGCTCCTAGGAGCTGCCTACTGAGTGCACACCTGTCTGCAGGCTCTCGCCTGGGGTGACAGCAGACGACAGGCGGACTGCGATTGAGAAGCCCCGACTGGGATCAGATTTCCCCTCAAACTGATGCGCTCGTTGCCCCTGGAGATTTCAAATGAACCACCCTGGTTTTTTCCCCCGCATGAAACATGGCTGGAGGACACTGCATTTGATTTTCAGAGGAAGTAAATATTCCCAAAAGGGAGAAGTGAGACAGGAACAAATCACCTCGCGTAGTTATGAACATCTCTTTTGCTAAGTGTACTGTATGAAGGAGTTTCAGATGCAGCCAAAAGGCAAGTGAGGAGCAGCGATTATTAGCAATCACAGCCCCTCTCAACGGCAGGCTCCTAAGCTAGCTTGAGCAGGACAGGCCAACCCTGCAGATTCTGTGGGTTCATTGCAGGTTCAGGGCCAGATAAAGCGAGTCACACACATTTTTTGGTTTCCCAGTGCAACTAAAAGTTATGTTTGTATTAAATGTGCAATAGCTTTATGTCTAAAAAAACCAGGCCGGGCGTGGTGGCTCACGCCTGTAATCCTAGCACTCTGGGAGCCCAAGGCTAGCAGATCACTCAAGGGCAGGAGTTCGAAAACAGCCTGAGCAAGAGTGAGACCCCATCTCTACTAAAAAAATAGAAAAAAATTAATTGGCCAACTAAAAATATATAGAAAAATTTAGCTGGGCATGGTGGTGCATGCCTGTAGTCCCAGCTACTTGGGAGGCCGAGGCAGGAGGATCGCTTGAACCCAGGAGTTTGAGGTTGCTGTGAGGTAGGCTGACGCCACGGCACTCTAGCTTGGGCAACAGAGCGAGACTCTGTCTCAAAAACAAAACAAAACAAAAAAAAACAATGTATAGGCATTAATTTAAAAATACTGTATCTCTAAAAAAATATTACTGATCATTCGAGCCTTCTGCTAGTTATAATCTCTTTGCTGGTGGAGGGTCTTGCCCCGATGTTGATGGCTGCAGACTCATCAGTGTGCCGGTCGCTGCAGGCTGGGCGGCTGTGGTCATTTCTTCAAATAAGACAGCAGTGGGGTTTGCCGCGATTGGCTCTTCCTTTGGTGAAAGATTTCCCTGTAGTACACGATGCTGTCTGACAGCATTTTACCCACGGTTGAACTTCTTTCAAAAGTAGGTAGTCCTCTGGAACCCTGCTGCTGCTTTATCAACCAAGTTTAGGTAATATTCGTGATTCTTTGGTGTCATTTCGACAATGTTCACAGCATCTTCACCAGCGGTAGGTTCCGCCTCAAGAAAAACAACTCTCCTTGCTCATCCACAAGGAGCGATTCCTCATCCATTCAAGTTTTTTTTTTTTTTTTTTTTTTTAAGCCTCTAAACATTTGGCATCCATTCAAGTTTTATCAGGAGATGCAGCAATTCAGTCACATCTTCACACTCCACTTCTAATTCTAGTTCTCTTGCTATTTGCAGCACATCTGCAGTGACTTCCTCCACTGGAATCTCGAACTCAAAATCATCCATCACTAAAGTAACACACGTTGTACCCACCAAGCAACTGCCCTTCATCCGCCCCTCCCACGCCCACCCCTCTGAGTCCTCGTGGTCCATGGTTCCACGAAGCTTTTGACTCAAATGTGACGGAGGTGAGACTCCTCCTTTCACCTGAACCATTCCAGGGGTATTAATTGGCCTAATTTCAATATTGTTGTGGCTCAGGGGATAGGGGCGAGAGGGAGGGTAAGAGGAGTGTCCATAATAATCAGAACACACACCACATTTATCGACTGAGCTTGCCATCTTAAATGGGTGCAATCGTGGCGCTCCGCAACAACTACAGTAGTGACGTCAAAGATCACTGATCACAGCCAAGTGTGGCCGTGTGCAGCTGTAATCCCAGCTACTCGGGACACTGAGGTGGGGAGAATCGCTTAGGCCAGGAGTTTGGGACCAGCTTGGATGATACATAGTGAGACTCCAGCTCAAAAAAGAAGAAGAAAAGAAAGCACAGATCACCATAACAGATAAAATAATGATGAAAAAGTTTGAAATATTATGAATATTATAAGGATTACCAAAATGTGACACAGACACAAGCGAGCACATGCTGTTGGAAACATGGCACTGATAGACTTGCTCAACACAATGCTGCCACAAACCTTCAATTTGTATAAAATGCAATGTCTGCAAAGCACAATAAAGCAAAGCTCAATAAAGTGAGGTGTGCCTGTAATTCATTTTCTCCCATCACTATCTGGAGAGGTAAGTAAGGTCCTGCTTCTAGGCCTTTCCTTATAACATCTCCTCCCATTCAGATTCCCTGCCTAATTGCTCCCTGTTGAAATCCTACTCTAGGAAACCCTCAAATAACAGTGGCTTAAACAGGGTAGGATTTTATTTCTCTCTCATGTTGAAGAAGATGAGGGTGCTTAGTCCAGGGCTGGCGTGGCACTCCACAGTGCTGGTGACCCAGCCTCCTTCTCTGTTGTTGCTCTGCCTTTCTCAGCATATAGCCTCTGCCTCATAGCCCAAAATGGCTGCCTAATTTCATCTTGACTTGCCACCTCATGAGAGATCCTGAGCCTGAACCAACCCAGGTAAGCTACTCCTGAATTCCTGACCCACAGAAACTGATTTTTTAATCAGTTGTTATTTAATCAATTGTTATTTAACCCTGTTAAATTAGAGGGTAATTTGTTATGCACCAATGAATAACCGATTATTATCTGAGCCTCCAACCTAGGCATACGTGCGTGAATTGGTTAAAGATTGCCTTCCAGAACACACGTTCCTGAGGGAGGGGCAGAAATCATGTCTTCTGTGTCCTTGCCCTTGGAGCCCTCCCCCAACCTTGGCGCACAGTAGGACCGCAGTGCCTGACGCAGGGACTCTGCTTGCCGGAGGAAAGCCCCGGCCTCCTGGCTTGCCTTCTGGTGGATGAGCCAACTTGCAGATGATGAGCTGCTAATGATTAATCACCTGGCCTTATGCCAAAAATGTGGCTTTGTTTCCCAGAGGTCACTGTTTCAGTCTCTTTCATTCCCTTGCTTCAAGTGCTGCCAAGGGGGAGGATTTCATAGGCAGGAAAACCAGAGCCTTCCTGAGCCTGCTGCCTCCCCCCTCCCTGTGGCCAGTGCTAAGGGCTGGGTCCTTCAAGGACCACCAAGGGATACCTCCTCCTTGTCCAAACCTTCCTTGATTTCCCTGATTGTCCTTCCCTGGGTAAGGGGAAAGCAAAGAAAACGATCTTGAAAAATGACTCCCTCATGCTGAAACTTTATGAACCATACTGTCAGAGCAACTTGAGTCATACCTATAACTCATGGCCTTGTTTATTTAAATAATAACATGGACAATGCTCTTTACTATCAATTCCACATAGCCAGTTGATATTCATAGGGTGCTTTTACTGGTTTTTGCCGAACTCTTGTATCCAAACCCAACCTATGGTTGCAGTTGATGAACAACATGAATGCTGTAAATGAGCACATTTTTGTTTACACTAAATGGGTGCAACCAAAGCAAAACAACAAAGACATAAGTCAGAACTTCACTCGTTCTTCAATGACATGAATGACTTTGCTTTAGAATCAGACAACGGTTTTTGAAAACTGGAAGAATATTTTCTTAGCTTTTTGTGCTTTTCACAATATAATAGCTAAAGACATGGCATGCTTTTAAAAACAGCTTTTTTGAAGCATAACTGACATATAATAATTGCACAAGTTTAAAGTGTATGATCTGATGTCTTGATATGTGCACATACCCATGAAACCATCACTGCCATCCAGAGACTGAACCTACCTATCAACCCCAAAAGTTTCCTTATATATGGTGGCCTTGATCTTTTTTTTTTTTTTGTCATTTCTATATGAATGTAGTGGGCAACATTCTATTCTAGGGCCAATATCCATTGTCTCCTTCCTTCCCAGCAGAATTTTAATTGTGATAAAGTTTCAACTTCTCCCCAACCTGATCTAAGATCACCCCCAACCCCAGGACCAAGTATAGATCCTATTAACCTAAGACAGTCAGTGCATGACATTCTCCTGGTAACTGGGGCAGGAATGTGACCTAAGCCAGGAAGGAACTGAGGCGCTCAATCCAGCAGCCCTCAAGGAACTGAGTCTTGCCAACAACCGAGTGAGTCTGGACGCAGATCCTTCCTCGGCTGTGCATTCAGATGAGACCTCAGCCCTGGCCAACAACTTGACTGCAGCCCTACGAGACACCCAGAAGCAAAGGCAGCCATCAACGTGTGCCTAGACTCCAACTCACAGAGATGATGAGGTAATAAATGTGTGTTGGTTTAAGCCATTAAGTTGGGGGATAATTTAAATAACCAAACACCACCTTACCTACAGGTTTTAAGTTAAACGAGGCATTTCATTTCCTTTGTACTCAATCCACTAGAGTCGGGGTTTTCTGTCACTCCCAAGAGCATCTTCTTGTGGCATGTCTCATCCCATTAGTGTCTCAGCTGCTCAAGAACAGGACTTCAGGACCTGCTAATGCCTCACTGGCATCAGTAACTTTGTAGACTAGATGAACTAAGGACATTCTTGGCCCTGCTTTTAGTTCATCTTCTGATAGCACAGTCTAGGGACAATCCTTGGAATGGCACAGAACTCAGGAATGGGGAAGCCTTTGTCCTTGGTTGCAAGTCTTTTCTATTTAGCCAACGAGAGCTTAGTAAGTACCTGCTGTTTGCAGAGTCCTTTACTGGATATTGGGGGGAAGGGTGGAGAGAATATTTAAAAAGAAGCTGTGTTCCCTGCTCCCAAGGAGCTTGCACCCACACTAAGGATAACTGAAGCAATGAGAACATTACAGTGTCCAGAAATATGTAACAAGTGCAGGTTAATAGGGCACTTCAGATGGAAGCAGACAGGCCTCAGGAACAGACCTTGGAGTCAGATGAGCAAATGCAGCTGCTGTCTGGGCAGGAGACGGGTTCCCTGAGAAAGCTCTTGAAAGCCTCCAGTTTCTGTCCCAGTGATGGGTGGGGCTGGCCAAGGGGGGGGAGGTGGGACACAGAGATTTCAGACAAGAAGCTACCCAATAATACAGGTTGGGGCTGCTTGCAAGGCTTCTGGGGGTGTTTTCTCAGCTCCTTAGCCCCCTCTCTGAGATTGCCCACCCTTCCCAGCCAAGACAGGCCAATCAGATTATCCCCCCTGAGAATCAGGAACTGGGACTGCAGGATGCTGGCCAGTCTCTACATAGCTGCGACTGAGTCACGCAAACCTGGGGGTTGCAGGATGTTCTGTCAGCAGAGAGGGAGGAAGGAAGGCTGGGAGATGCAGAGTGGGCACGATGAGGCAGAGAATCGCAGAGAGCCGTGCTGAAGAAAGCCTGCGTGTCAGCCCAGGCCCCATCCCTTCCAGAACCGGGGGAACCCCTGACTACCCCTGGGTACCACAAGACACACCTACACCTGCGCCAGACTCGCCTTCCTGCCACCTGGAGTCTCAGAGAAGAAGGAGGTCAGGAGACCAGGGTCAGATGCCCAAACCAATGCCACAGGTGACCAACCAGACCTCCAGAGTGCTTCTTCAACCAGTATAACTGTTCAAAAGATCTGAACCTTTCCTTTTAGAAAATCTAGATTTCCAGCATTTGTTGAATTGTAAGGCCTTGTATGCCCAGGCCTCATGCCTGCTGGACAGCCGTCAGCGGGAACCGAGAAGTGGCTGCCCCTTTTGCCAGAGCCTGGTTCCCAGTGTACCCCAGCCCTGCCCAGCTGGTGCAGACATGTTCGTTCCCATCTGACCCTAAGGACACCAACTGACTTTGCAATAATAAAGCGTCCCTCTCCCTCTCTCTTTCAAGATTTCTCCAAAGTAACAGGGGCTAGAGATGTGCAACCCTGCATGGAGGTCAGCTCAAGACTGAAAACCCACAAGATGAGCTGTTTCCTGGTTACCTAAAACAAAATGTCCCAAACAGCACCATTTTATTATATTTCAGGATTTTGTTGGTCAGGAATTCAGGCAGGGCTCATCTAGTGATTCTTCTGTCCCATGAGACATTGGCATTTAGCTAACAGACGGGCTGGTCTGCAGGGTCCAAGGTGCTTCACTCACACATCAGGTGCCTTGAATAATTTGCCCGAGGATCACAGCCAGAGGTCCAGTAGGACTGGAGCCCGGTTCGTCTCATTCCAGAGTCTTGCCCCCTGGCCCATCCCACCCCCACCCCTGCCATCTTTCTCCACACCCCAGGAGGCTGACCCATGCGGACTTACCAATGACTCCCAAGTCTTCTGGCTTCCAGCTGGGTTTGGACACTGGGGAGGGGGGCGCTGCAGGGAGGAAGGAGAGTCAGAGCATTTTATTTTCGTGGCTGCCTCCCTAGGGGTCCCCGTGAGCTGGTCCCTGGACCGAAGGTGCCTGCTCCTGTGCCCTGGTGGTCTTTCTGCGAGACAGGATTCTCTCCTCCTGGGTCTGGTGACCACGCCCTCCTCATCCTTTGGGTTGAGGAAGATAACAGATTTGAGGGTTGCAGCACCCTCCCCTGCACATCCCCACCTGCACATCTATTAAACATTCCTCAAGTTATCCTAACTAACGCAGCGCCATGCGTTAGTTTCCCGTGTTGGGAAGGGAACATGGAGGGAGAGGCTGCCATCGAGCAGAGCCCGTAGTCTACTGGTGACAACTAACAGAGACCTCCCTCAGATGCGTTTGCAAGCGCGTGACACTCCAGGCTCCCCTGGCGCCCCGGGGCCCCTTTATTAAAAGGATTTGCTCTGTACAATTTAGATTCGGTCTAAAGGCCACACTCCAGGACCCAGAAGGCCACATGTGGCCCCAGGACGGAGGTTGCCCACCCCATTGCTTTTCTCCATCTTGGCTTTCTTCTTCAGTAGCATGTTACCACGTGGTGACACAGGTGGCTATTACCTGCCCCAAATTTGCGCTCTGCCTGTTTAACCCCAGCTTGGGCGGGAGGAAGACTGGAGCATTCCTGCACACAGCATAAAGTCTCCTATTGGTCCAGCTTGGGTCATATGCTCATCTGTGAACCAATCACAGTCGCTGGCAAATGTAGGGCTCTGATTGGCCAGACTAGAATCACGTGGCCCTCCAAAATGGGAGTAGGACTCTGTCATCTCTACCTGAACCTAATAGAACAGTGTGGGAGAGGGGAGGGGTGGTATCTTAAAGGGAAAAAGGCTACTATTACTAAAGGAGGTGAGGGTAGGGGGCAAGGAGCTTGCAGGCCCAAACAACAGCAGGTATTTCCTTCTCTCAGAAGTCCTGAGATCCGTGACGAAGGAGGAGAGTGGGGGGGTAGGACGACTTGGGACCCAGGAAGAGGGCTGAGGCAAGCTTGGCCAGGTGCGCCAGAGGCCACAACTAAAAGGGGCCGCTCAGAATTCTGGGATCTTGGCCATCTCCTCTATGGTCATTTACCAGCAACAGGGGCGTGATGGGGCCTCATCTGGTGCCCACCTGAGAAATTCTGCCTTCTCAGAGCAGGTGAGCAGTGGGGCCTTGCGGGGACCTCCGTGGGGATGTGGCGAGAGCCTTGGGGCAGGTCCCATGGAACCCAGGCTTTGAGAGGCTTGTCCTGCATTTCTCAGCAGCTGCCCCGGAAGCTGAAGGAAACCTTTTTTCAGCAGGAAGGGGGCATGGGAGAGTGGGCCACTGACAGTGCAGATCAGCCTAGAAGGGCCTAATGGACTCTTCTAGGTGCAGTAGCTGCATAGACCACTTCCTTGAGGAGTGGCCTGCAGGCTAGGAAAAACTAGGGGGTAACAATGGTGCCCCAAGGGGGTGTCTCTCACCCGCCCACTCACTGGTACTCATCACTTTCACACAGATGAGCAAGGTGAGGCTCTGGGAAGAGCCTTGCCCAAGGCCATGCAAATTGCCTAGCTAGAAGGCCCTGGGTTTGGATTTGAACATGGGGCTGTCCTCAAAGCTCGAGTTTTCAAACAGGGAGGTAAGGGGAGGTGGAGAAGACGACTCCCATCCAGGGAAGAGATGGTGTAGCTAGCCCCTGCTGGAAAAGAAATGTCAGTGGGGCGTGGCTCTGCCCAGGAGGGGAGCCTGCAGGAGTCTGGGCAGAGGGGGAAGTGGTATGGCCTGGAGCAGTCACAGTGGCCTCCTGGAGGATGCACCTTTTTTCCTTATTTTTTTTAAATAAGAAAAAACAGTTTATCGAGATATAATTCGCATAATATACAATTCACTGACTTAAAGGGTGGAATTCAATGGTTTTTAATATAGCCACGAAGTTGTGCAACCATCACCACAATCAGTTTTAGATCATTTTCATCATCCCCTCCCTCCCAAAAAACCCTCATACCCATTAGCAGTCATTCCTCATTCTCTTCTCTCCTGTCAGCCTCTGGCAACCACCAATTGACTGTCTCCGTGGATTTGCCTATTCTGGACATTTCACATAAGTGGAATGTCATCCTCTGTGTCTGGCTTCTTCCACTTGACACGCTGTTTTGAGGGTCACCCATGATGTAGCGAGCATCAGTATGTCATTCCTTTTTATGGACTAATAGTATTCCATTGTATGGACATACCACATTGTGTGTATCCATTCCTCAGCTGATGGACACTGTACTGTCTCCACCTTCTGGCTATTACGAACAACACTGCCGTGAACATTCACGTGCAAGCTTTTGTGTGGACATATGTTTTCATTTCCCATGGGTACATACCTAGAAGTGGAATTGGTGGATCGTCTGATAACTCAATGTTTACCTGTTTGAGGCCCTGCCAGACCATGGCCCAGGCCATGGATGCTGGTAAACACCCCACTACACAGAAGACACCCCCGATAACAAAGCATGATCTGGCCCCAAATGCCACTAGTGCCCAGGTAGAGAAAGCCTGCGTTAGACTGAGGTGCCCTCATAGGATCCGGTCCTGCTCAGTCACTCTGTGAAATGCTCTGGGGACAGACTGGGCTCAGGAGGCATTTTTGAGTGCCTGGGCACTTGGAGTCCTCCCCGTCCTACTTGGGTTGCTGGGGATGATGTATTTGTGTGAGCTGGCTGGCCTTCTCCCTTTGCCCCCATCTAGGTGTGGTACCTAGCACAGGTGAGTTAGATACCAGACTTGATGGATGAGCAGTTGGCCTTGTTCAGTAGTGAGCTCATCGTCAGAGGAGGCATCCAAGAGGAGCAGCACTGGACACCTGGGATGTGGAGGAGGCACCCTGCCTCTGCTCTGGAGCTGTCCTTGGACGATTTCAAGGCTCCTTCGGGCGCAAGGCGGTGGCTCGCTGCGCGGAGAGCTCTGGGCCGCCCCACCTGCCGGCCCGCGGTCGCTGCGGGCAGGAGCGGAGAGCGCCTTCCTTCCCACGGAGCCCTGTGCCACGTTGGAGACTTCCCTCAGTTTCCCCCGGGGGCGCCCCCGGGCCGCCCGCGCCAGGGCCCCGGCCCGCGGAGGCGGCACCGGAGGCTGGGCGCCCGCGGAGCGCCCGGTGCGGCACCGCCCGCCGCCAGGCCCGGCCCCGGGGGCGCGGCCGCCGGGCTTCCGTGTGCCCCAGGAGGGCTCCGGGCCGCGAGCCGACGCCAAATGGCTTTTGACAAAAAAAGCCTTGACCACCAAGGCCAGCCTCTTCCTGAAAGTCCCGCTCGCTCCGATACAGGAAGTTGAAGGGAGCGAGCGCCCCAGAGCGCGGCGGCGGCTTCCCCACTCGGCGCGGGGCGGCGGCGGCGCCCGCCCGGGCCCTTCCCGAGGGCCAGCGCCGGGGCATGCGGGCGCCGGGGACTCCGCGTTCCGCGCGGGCCCGCGCCTGAGCCCCTCCTCCACCGTCGCGGAGCTGCCGGCGGCATGATCCGACCGGCCGGGGCGCCCGCGCGCGCGGACCCCGCGGGGTAAGTCGGGGCGGACGCCCCCTCCCTCCCTGGGATCCCTCCCCGCCCCGCTCGGCCGGCGCCCAGCTTGCCCCGCTGCAGCTCCCCGGCCCCCAGAGCCCTAGGAGCTCCGGGAGGGACCTCTGTCCCCGGGACCTCGCGGTGTCGGCTGAAACGGACCCGCCCCCCAGCCCCCACCGCCGCGGCCAGGGCCAGACCCGGGTTCTGCAGGGAAGGGGGCGGCCCTGATGACTCTGCAGGACCCGACGACTTAGCTGAACTTTTAAGGCCAGACATTCCTCGCTGGAAAACCAGCGCACACTTTGGCGTCTGGGCGGGCGGGTTGCCAGGGATGCGTCTCTACCTGTCAGAGCCGGGGCTGCTCGCGTGGACACGGCCGCCTCCCTAGGCTCCTGAACTTTGGATGCAAACACACGCGGTCCCGGCCCCGCCAGCCTGCTGCACCCGCCGCTCTGCCCGAGTCCCGCTGCGCTCCCTTGGGCTCTGGGTCCCGCCGGGCTTAGGGTGGGAGACCCGGGTCCCCGCAACTTCGGGCGCCCTCGGCCCTGCAGCTGACCCGCCCGCTTGGACCGAGGGCCCACCTGGATCCCCTCCCCCACCCCTCTGGCCTGGCCAGGGACAGTGACCTTCGGACTGGCCTTTGGCGAGCCTGGTGCTTGGGGAGGGTCTAGGGCACACGGGCTGCGCACAGACTGTGGGGTTTTCGGGGGAGAAGGTGCAGCTTGGAGTGCGTGAAGCCGAATGGTTTGGAAAGGGGCTTCGGGGGATGTCCCTCGGGTCTAGTTTCATACCCTTCACTCCACCGTCCGGCCCCGGCTCCCCAACCTCCTCACCTGCCCCACCCACCCCTCACGACAGCTCGGCAGGTCGGGGAGAAGGTCCTCCCAGCCCAGAGGGCGCCCGGGAAGCATCAGGTGCTGAGTAGGCGCCAGGGCAGAGGCGGATTCCTGGGAAAGCCTGTCAGAGCCTTTAAGGGCGCGCCTGGGGGAGCCATCCCAGCCTTCTGGTTTAAAAGTCCCGGGCCTGCTCCGGTGATGGACACCCCGCCGCTGCCTGGCCTAGCTGTGTGACCTCATCTCCCAGGCCCTCAGTTCTCTGCTCTGTAAAACAGGAGAGTTGAGCCATCTTGTGCAGTCCCGGATTGGGCCTTGGGGGGCAGCTGGAGGGGGGCTGGCTCCTGCTCAGCTGGGAGGGGCTTGGAGGGGCGCTGAGGCGCTTCTGGATCAGAATGTCACCGCCTTCTCCCACCACAGCCCGGAAATTCTGGACGCTGGTTGCTTTTCCTTGAAAGTAACTCTGCAGAGATAAACGCCATCCGGGTGGGAATTCCTCTGGGGAACACCCCCACCAGGGCCAAGTGTCTGCCACACCCAAGAGTGCAGAGTGGAGCTGGCCAGGAGTTCCTCCGGGAGGAAGGGGAGGTGAGGGGCCAGGGCCCTGACCTCACCTACTTCCCTTTTCCCCAGGGATGACCTGGCCTGACCCACTTCCTCTTGCCTTTCTTTGTTCATTACTGGGCCAGTTACTTAGCTTCTCTGTGCCTCAGTTTACTTATCCATAAAATGAGGATAAGTAATAGTAACTGCTCTTTGTAGTTGTTTTGAGGATTAAATTGCACAGAGTGAGTTTAGCAGGTTGGCCCACAGGGGAAACCTTCAATAGTTATTATTATTACCATTATTGCCATCACTTGTTGGCTGTGATCCCTCCAGTTGCCGGCTGTGTAACCTTGGGCATGTGACCTGGCCCCTGTCTCATCTATAAATTGGGACAAGAATGATGCTGACTTCATAGACTCATATGAGGATTGGCCGAGTGCTTAGTTAAGCAGCTGCCCACAGGCAGCTTGGGGCCAACATGCCGGCACGGGCCTGCGTAGAACAGGGTACATCCCAGCGCTAGATGAATATTGGTTTGTTGTTAAAACTATTGCTTTATTTTGGGGGACCTTTTGTGTTGGAAGGGTTCCCAAGGGCGGGAAGGATCTGCTGATGGATTGGCGGTGAGATGGGAGAGAAAGAGTCAAGGGTGACCCTGGTAAGGCTGTGACTGCCAGGGGGCCGGCACTCCAGGGACAGATGCCGAGCTGTGCGG